TTAATTCCCGCAGTGATTTTTGCGAAATCGCTGCGCAATATATTCAGTTTCTTCCAATGCCTTCATGATTAAGCAGTGTAATGCCATCACAACTAAAAATGAATTCAGTTTGTATCGCAAAAGCCGGGAAAATAGAGCTGAAAAAAAAAATGGATCAGAAAAATTAATAAAATCACCAAGAAACCGTCTCGCGGGAGCTTTGTCAAACAAACCTTTGGTACGGTTTATTTAACCTAACCTGGAAAAGGAGACGTCTGCACGCAGAATACATTTCATACTACATGTAGTTGTAATTTCCAGAACGGACCTCGGGAGCTTCATTGCCGTAATATCTTCTACATTACAGAAACCACAGCAGAATCGCCCTGCTCGCTTGCTAACTTTCCGCTCCAGTTATGACTATACAGTAGTATACCAGTCAATTGTTTCAAAATTTAAAGCGGTGGAAACTTATTTCCATCAGCGCGTAGTTAGCTAGTTAAGCAATAATAATGCACAGCACTGTAAATAACACGGTTCTAGAATATCTGACGGCTTCGCATTTTGTTTGTCGCTGCATGCGATTTAATCGCTTATAACCTAACAGAAAATTTAAATGTACCTGAAGGAAATACCGTGTATTACCTTACCTTAACGCTGTGATGTGTGTAAATTTGTCTTTTGCTATGGTTTTAGACAATACGACTTCTCCTGACTATCAATTGTGCGTCAAAACAAGCGCGATAATGAAATAGTCTAAGTGCCATGGTGTAGCACTTTATGACAAAGTTTTAACTGGAAAACTTGTTACTATCTGATGTACACCTGTATAGTCTATGTTTGTAAGCTCTGCCTAAAGAATCACTGGGTTACACTGCACCCATGGGTGTGCCACCTAAAGTGCAGCCTATGTTTGTTAGCTCTACCTAAAGAATCACTTGGTTACACTGCACCCATGGGTGTGCCACCTAAATTGCAGCCTATGTTTGTTAGCTCTACCTAAAGAATCACTTGGTTACACTGCACCCATGGGTGTGCCACCTAAAATGCAGCCTATGTTTGTTAGCTCTACCTAAAGAATCACTGGGTTACACTGCACCCATGGGTGTGCCACCTAAAGTGCAGCCTATGTTTGTTAGCTCTACCTAAAGAATCACTTGGTTACACTGCACCCATGGGTGTGCCACCTAAAGTGCAGCCTATGTTTGTTAGCTCTACCTAAAGAATCACTTGGTTACACTGCACCCATGGGTGTGCCACCTAAAGTGCAGCCTATGTTTGTTAGCTCTACCTAAAGAATCAGTGGGTTACACTGCACCCATGGGTGTGCCACCTAAAGTGCAGCCTATGTTTGTTGGCTCTACCTAAATAATCACTGGGTTACACTGCACCCATGGGTGTGCCACCTAAAGTGCAGCCTATGTTTGTTAGCTCTACCTAAAGAATCACTTGGTTACACTGCACCCATGGGTGTGCCACCTAAAGTGCAGCCTATGTTTGTTAGCTCTACCTAAAGAATCAGTGGGTTACACTGCACCCATGGGTGTGCCACCTAAAGTGCAGCCTATGTTTGTTGGCTCTACCTAAATAATCACTGGGTTACACTGCACCCATGGGTGTGCCACCTAAAAGTGCAGCCTATGTTTGTTGGCTCTACCTAAATAATCACTGGGTTACACTGCACCCATGGGTGTGCCACCTAAAGTGCAGCCTATGTTTGTTAGCTCTACCTAAAGAATCACAGGTGGACTCAAGTAGGACAAACCTTGTGATTTTTTTTTTGGCGCCTCATGGCGCGCAAACTAATTTATTCTGGTGCAAAATGAAGATTAAGAAAATGTATCTGAAATCTAATACACGACAAGAAAATTTTCGCACTTTCGAGGAGCGCGACATATTAAATGGGATTAAGTCGGATTAGCTGCCCTTGGAGAAAACATCCCTGCGTGGGATGGTACTTCCAGTAAAAAGCCTCTGTGTCCTCTCATGTTTATTATTATAATTCACATTATTGAAGCAGAATTCTGCAACCTAAAATTCTATTTCCTAATTTTATGCATAACTTTATTATTATAATTCACATTATTCCTTCAACCCTTTAAGCCTTGAGAGTGATCAGCATCAAATTTCTCCTTGAAATATCAATGCTTTGTAAAACAGAGTGTTCATGAGAATTATGGACATGATCACACAATCTGCTTGATATTTTATCAACTTCTTCCCACTACTTCTGTAGGAAATGAATAGGGGCAACAAATAAGCATTCAAATTTTGATCTTAGGGTTAAAAGGGTTTTAAATTTCTATTTTTAATGCATATATTTTTTTTTTTTTTATCAGACAAGAGAAATAATACATTGGTAAGGTAAACCTTACTTAAAACAGAACAAGTACTGAAATCTACAGTGTAAATGTATAACCAGACCACACCACCCTTACCATCTTCTTTAGTTGAAATGGCTTTTAAGTTTTTTCATTAGATATGTTTATCATTCTCCCTGTTTTAAATAGGGGACAGTGAGGGGATGGAAGAAGTGCTTTTTAACTCCTCCACTGGCTTAACTACAGAATACAGGGTCACTTATTTCCTTATCATTAGATAATAAAATTAAAAACATCTAATGACCCGTTCTTCAAAGCCTTCCGACAAGGTGGACTTGAGTAACCTGAATTCTGTTTCATCAAACGTGGTTAAAATAGCTCAGTCTTTTGCATTTGGTAGAAAGAGAGCGAATCAGGGCGGCTTACCTGGTCTTACTATCGGCTTTTTCCAGCAAAGTCTTGATTCTTGGAGAGCGTTTGTTATATTTGTGCAGTTCATCTTGAAAACCGTTGCGCCTCACGAGGCTTCTGTCTCTGATTCTTCACGACGAACTTCAAGAGCGAAGTGATGGATCAACGACGGCTCATAGTTCGAAAATAATTAGTAACAACACCTTGAATGTCCTTTGATGCTGTCGAGAAGTATAATGCAAGACTCCTGATCCCCAAAGAAACTGGCATGTTCGCAACCGTTGCAGTACTTTCAAAATGGACGCCAAAAGGACAACACCAAAGAGCATGTGCATAAGGAAAGCCCGCTGACCAGTTGTGTACATTGTATTGTTTCCAAAAATGCTTTCGATTGTTTACATGTCGTGTCATTTTTAGCCTGCGTGGCAGGCGTTCGAAATTTGAAAAACCTTTAACTTATGAATCAGAAAATATATGTACATGATGGCTGGGTCTTTGTTTGCTATCAATACCGAGGGATATTGTACTGTAACGCCCTCCCAGCATTTAGTTTGCGTGACGCATCATGTAATGTTATCGATATTGAAATCACGTGCAGAACATTCGGGAGCGTGATTGTAGTTTTGTATCCGATTTGCACCTTCGCTCGAGGCAAAGGTTCGCTCGAAACCATGATTTACCTTACAGTCTCTGACTGTCGTCACGGTTTCAGGTCTACGTTAAAGTTATCTTAGTTCCTTACTCGACTAAACGGACCGTACTTTGGATTGTGTCAGACGTATGGTTACTTCAACCGAACACCGCGGTCTCCTTGCGCCCCTTTTGACGGCAAAAGGCGGTCGCTTCGAGTAGACCTTGTTGGGGCCAAATCGGAATTTTAATTTGGCTATCGGAAGGGCCAAATTGAGAGGAAGTGCCAAAGTAGCTTTTAGTGTAGCCGATTCAGAAATTAGATGGGCCGAATTGGTACCATCTAGAACTGTTTTGACTCTTTCTGTCCAAAACGGCCCAGCATGTTCCAAATCGGCCCTCGATAAATTGGGGCCGATTTGGCCTTTGGGGTCGATTTGGCTCTTTTCATTTTACAGTGTAACAACAGGGTAAAGTGTAGTCTAGTGTAGCTATCAGAGAGATGAAACACTACGTTTACACAAACAACAGAGGTGGACCTCGTGGTCAAATTTCCTTTTATTTTTCACGTGCTCATTTGTTAGTTGTTTATTGGTTTTATAATAAAATCTTTTTTTTTAATATTCAGATACTGCATTCTGATTGATTGTCTGAACGGGCCAGAAATAGCTACAGTCCCCACTACACTGAAATTGACAATCTGCTTGAAAACAAAACTAAAATGGAGATTCTTTTCCAGTCGTACACTGCGTATTCACGATACATCGAACGATATGATTCGCTTACATCAGAGGAGGCCCTGGCCATCGTGCAAAGCCACCCTCCCTCACCCCCTCCTCCCGCCACTCCCCCACACCTGCCGCATGAAAAGAAAATGAGACTCCGGGAACGAGAATGCTGCACGTCCCATGAAGCATGAGAGGATGGGGACAAGAGATACCCTGGGAACGAGGTTGATTTAGAGCATGATGACTATGACGTCATGTGCTTAGATAAGATGCGGCATGAGAAACTGCTATTTTACAGGAGTTTGAGTTTCTGTTTCTGTGTCAGGAGCCAATTCCGTTTTGTGTTCCTTGTTTGGGGTTTTGTGTTTCCGTTTAGAGATTTTCTTTCTGTTTCGGGTTTTGGGTTTTCGATTTTGCTTGTATGTTTTCTTTTTTTAGGGTTTTGCACGTCTATTTTCGGGTTTTGAGTGTTTGTTTTGTATTACGGGCATCAAGGAAAACTTTCAGTTTTTTACATTGTATGATTCTATTTTGTATTTTGTGATTCTGGTTTTATCTTGTGCTTCCGTTTTGAATCTGTGTTTCTGTTTCGGGTTTTGGTTTTCCTTTTTGGGTTTTGTGGTGTGGATTTTCCTTATCGGCCACCATATATTTGACCGCCGTTTGTCTGTAAATCTATCCACTAGAGGAAACTTAATTCGGTTAAGCATTTCTTGACAATTCAGATGGGAAAAAGACTCAACTATCTCAGAATTTAAGTAGGTATCTCATATGTCATATGTGCTTTATTTTTTGCTTCTCTTGTTTAATTTAAAAGTAACTTGTGATTTAGACCAGTTTACCACAGTCAATCATAGTATATGTTGCTATGTTTTGTTTAGGGTCCCGACGCGAATTCTGTTTTAGTCCATGCTGTAGGCGAATGTGATGG